GAGTTCTAAGCGCAGGCCCCTTTCACATGTGATTTCTAGAGTTCTAAACCCAAACCCCTTTCACATGTGATTTCTAGAGTTCTAAACCCAAACCCCTTTCACATGTGATTTCTAGAGTTCTAAGCGCAGGCCCCTTTCACATGTGATTTCTAGAGTTCTAAGCCCAGGCCCCTTTCACATGTGATTTCTAGAGTTCTAAGCCCAGGCCCCTTTCACATGTGATTTCTAGAGCTGTAAGCCCAGGCCCCTTTCACATGTGATTTCTAGAGCTGTAAGCCCAGGCCCCTTTCACATGTGATTTCTAGAGTTCTAAGCCCAGGCCCCTTTCACATGTGATTTCTAGAGCTGTAAGCCCAGGTCCCTTTCACATGTGATTTCTAGAGTTCTAAGCCCAGGCCCCTTTCACATGTGATTTCTAGAGTTCTAAGCCCAGGCCCCTTTCACATGTGATTTCTAGAGCTGTAAGCCCAGGTCCCTTTCACATGTGATTTCTAGAGTTCTAAGCCCAGGCCCCTTTCACATGTGATTTCTAGAGTTCTAAGCCCAGGCCCCTTTCACATGTGATTTCTAGAGCTGTAAGCCCAGGTCCCTTTCACATGTGATTTCTAGAGTTCTAAGCCCAGGCCCCTTTCACATGTGATTTCTAGAGTTCTAAGCCCAGGCCCCTTTCACATGTGATTTCTAGAGCTGTAAGCCCAGGTCCCTTTCACATGTGATTTCTAGAGTTCTAAGCCCAGGCCCCTTTCACATGTGATTTCTAGAGCTGTAAGCCCAGGCCCCTTTCACATGTGATTTCTAGAGTTCTAAGGCCAGGCCCCTTTCACATGTGATTTCTAGAGTTCTAAGGCCAGGCCCCTTTCACATGTGATTTCTAGAGTTCTAAGGCCAGGCCCCTTTCACATGTGATTTCTAGAGTTCTAAGGCCAGGCCCCTTTCACATGTGATTTCTAGAGTTCTAAGGCCAGGCCCCTTTCACATGTGATTTCTAGAGCTGTAAGCCCAGGCCCCTTTCACATGTGATTTCTAGAGCTGTAAGCCCAGGCCCCTTTCACATGTGATTTCTAGAGTTCTAAGGCCAGGCCCCTATCACATGTGATTTCTAGAGTTCTAAGGCCAGGCCCCTTTCACATGTGATTTCTAGAGTTCTAAGGCCAGGCCCCTATCACATGTGATTTCTAGAGCTGTAAGCCCAGGCCCCTTTCACATGTGATTTCTAGAGTTCTAAGCCTTTAAAAGGGCAGGGATTGTCTTCCTTGGGGAACTCAGCTTTAGTCAACTATGCTGCTGCTGCTCCCTGCCAAATAAATCACCCCTTCATTCCCAGTTTGGTGTTTGAGAGGTTTGTTTTGTGGCCTTTCCCGCTACAAAACAAAGAAAACATGTAAGTAAATGGGAAGCTATTCCATGTTTATGAATAGAGAGACACAATACTGTTGTCAGTTCTTCCCAAGCCGGTCTGTGGATTCAGTGCGATCCCAATCAAAATCCCAGCAAGTTATTTTGTGAATGTTGACAATCACATCCTGACACTTAAACGGAACGGCGAGGCTCAGAATAGCTAATATAACTTTCAGGAGAAAAGTTAGAGGACTTCAAGCCTTGCTACGAAGCTGCAGTAAAGGACAGTGTGGCATTGGCAGGATAATAGAGAAACAGAGCAAGAAAACCCATCAAAGAGCCCGGAAGGAGGCTCCACAAATCCAACAGACTGACCTTTGACAGAAGAGCAAGGGCAGCCTGATGGAGAAAGTCTTTTCAACAAATGATTTTGTGATGACCAGACATACATGCCCACAAATGCATTTAGACACAGACTGACATCTATCACAAAAAATCAGTCAAAACGGGATCACAAACCTAAGTGCAAACCACAAAACTATTAAACGTTTAAGGGTAACGGAGAAAATCTAAGCGTTTGGTGATGACGTTTTAGATATGGCTGCCAGAGCATGAGCCATGAAAGAAAGAAATGTGAAGTTTGGCTTTATTAAAATTCCTCACATCGGCTGTAAGAGATACTGTTAAGGCATGAAAAGCCACATACTGGGGGAAAAAGATTCTCAAGCCACACATTTGATAAAAGACTTTTTTGTGTCTAAAACACAAAAAACCAAAACAACCCAATTAAAAATCGTCAAGAGATATAGACAGACACCTCACCAAAGAAGATATACAAAGCAGAGACGGATAAACTACGGTACATCCATACAGTGGAATATTACTTAGCAATGAAAAGAACTGAGCTATCAAGCCATGAAAAGACATATTAAAAGCATATTACTAAGTGAAAAAGTCAATCTGAAAAGGCTACCTACTGCTTGATTCCAACTGAAGGACATCCTAGAAACGGCAAAGCTATGGAGACAGTAAAACGATCTGTGGTGACCAGGGATTTAGGGGGATGAAAGGTGGGATGAACAAGTGAGCATACGCTAATGACAGATACTGGACATGATCACTGGCCAAAACCCACAGGATGCACACCACCAAGAGTGAGCCTAACGCGAACTGTGCAGTTTGATTAATAATAATGTATCAATGGACTCATCAGTTGCAACAAATGTGCCATGCTAATGCAAGATGGACCCACTGAGGAAATTGTGCTTGGGCATATTTGGGCACTTTAAATACTTGCTGGTCAACTTTTCTGTAAAATCAAAACTACTCAAAAAAAAAATTAAAATAAAATAAAGCTTCCTCATTAAAGAGAAAAAAAAGTCTCTAAGATTCATCTCCAGTCCCTGGACCTACCATTTAGAGCCCTGCACAGCAACAGGACACCAGCTGTGTGAGCTGCTGTGGTCAGTCTGAGATACCCCTGTGTGAGTGGCTCTGTGTCTGATGCCCCTGGAGGGTGGTCTGCACTGCGGAGTCCAGGGAGGGCCGATGGGTATCAGGCCGAGACGCCGGACCCAACCTGCTTCTCCCTGGGCTGTCCCTCCCATGGAGCCCCCTCCATCTGCCCCCAAGTTGGTTACATCCCCAAGAACAGGCGACTTGGTGGGGGAGGCTTCCCATGGGCTGCTCTCTCAAGCGACTTGTCCAAGCTGGTGCCTTTGCGGCTCATTCTTCACTGTTCTCGTCTATTATTTCTTCCTGCTGCCCACTGCAGGCATGCAGAATGCTCTCCAGGGCTGCCGGTCTGCAGACTGAGCAAGGAACCTTAGCCTTTGTCCTGCACCTTCCACATCCCTCCCTGATACAGATCTGCCCAGATTGTTGGGGGCACAAGAGCAGCTCCGGGTCACATGACTGGCCATCTTCCACTATGTCTGTGTGCGTGTGCATGTGCATGTGAAGGCGTGTCTGACCTGAAGTGCACACCCCTCTGCCTTCCGGCATGGGTCTGCATGTGCACGCATCTCCCTGGGAGGGCTGCCATGCCCAAGTGAGTGTCCCTCCTTTTGTGTGTTCCATGTCCTTGGGTGCACCTGTCTGTGGGTCTGTATGTGGGTGGCTTCCTGAGCCTTGTTTTGCCTGTTTAAAAAGTTACAAAGGCCAGGATCAGTAGCTCAGGCCTGTAATCCCAGCGCTTTGGGAGGACAAGGCAGGTGGATCATGAGGTCAAGAGATCGAGATCATGCTGGCCAATATGGTGAAACCCGTCTCTACTGAAAATACAAAAAGTAGGTAGTCCTGGTGGCAGGCACCTATAATCTCAGCTACTCAGGAGGCTGAGGCAGGATAATCGCTTGAATCTGGGAGGTGGAGGTTGCAGTGAGCCGAGATCACACCACTGCTCTCCAGCCTGGTGACAGAGCAAGACTCCACCTAAAAAAGAAAAAGTTACGAAGACAAATAGCCTAATTTAAAAAATGAATAAAAGATTTTGACAGTCCCTTCACCAAAGAAGACTTACACACGGCTAATAAGCATGTGAGCCTCAGCACCATGAGTCATGTGTGGAATGCAGGTGAGAAACCACAATGAGGTACCACCGCAGAATGCCAGGCGCTGGTGAGGACATGCAGAAACTGGAACCACCGTACACTGTGGACAAGCAAAATGGTATACGAAGTTCAGAAGACAGTTGGATACTTCCTTAATAGTTAAACATACATGTACTTACCTATGACCCAAAAATCCTACTTGTCAATCCTCTTTCATTCCCAAGAGAAGTGAAACATGCGTGTCTACAAAATAACTTCTATACAGATGTTCAAAGCACATTCATTCCTAACAGCCCCAAACTGGAAACAACCCAAATCCCTGCTTACCAGGAATTAGAGCATATCTATGCAATAGAACACTACTCAGCAATAAATAAGAGCAAACTACTGATACACACGGGAACATGGACCAGCATCCCAAAATATTATGCTGAGTGAAATAAGCCAGACACAAACAGTGCCAAGGCATGAGCCCATCTTTTCACAGAAAGCAGTGCAGTGGCTGCCTGTGGCCATGGGGTAGAGAGGGCTGAATATGAGGTCATATGACAGAACTTGCGGAGACAAATGTTTCCCCATGATTAGTCAAACCTCATGAAATCGTACCTCAATCAAGTCAATTAAAAATATTTTAATGTATACTAGAATAGATGGTAATTTTGGGGAGAGAGAGAGTATCTTCAAAGTGAGTGAATGACTGCTGTCCCTTCATGTTTATTAATAATTATGGCAACTATACGTTTCACAGTGGAATGGGTTGCAACAAGGCCAGATTAGAGAAGCGACCAAAAGCACAGAAATTTGACATCAAAGTTCCAAACTGATTGTAAAATTTAATCAACACATGAGAAGTGACTGTCTGAAGAGATCATTTGAACCAGTGTTGGCATTCTTTGCCCTGGTGCCCGTGGCCAGCACACGTTGGTGTAAATCAGCACCCCTGGGTGGGTGAGCTTGAAAATCTACGTCCTAACCTCATCCAGTTACAAACCAGATGTGTAGCCTCGGGCATGCCAGTTCATGCTGGCTCATAGTAATTCTACACTTCTTGGTCTGAAATATGCAATGCTATTTTTTTTTTAAGAACCAGGATAAAATTAGCAACTTCCATAATATCACAAAGGCAGATTTTATTTATGAGGGTTAACGATAGGTACCAAAATCAAATAAGCAAGTGGGTTTGCTGGGGAGAATTTCTCTTCGTTTTCCTTCATCTGCAAATGTCTTTATTTCGTCTTCATTCCTGAAGGAAATTTTCGGGGTAAAGAATTCTGTGTTGACAGTTCTCTTTCAGCAATTAACAAACGGCATCCCACTGCCACCGACTCATGGGCCTGTGAAAGAAACCCGCGGTTGTCAGAGCCATTGTTCACACACAAGGACGAGAAAGGACAATCACCAACAAAAGACGGAAAAGCATTTCCTCCACTCCCTCTGACCGGTGGGGCCTGCAGGTTTTTTCTGTTTTTCAGGCTGGAAATAGAGGGCTTGCCTTGGGATTTTTCCGTTTCATACTCAATATCTAATTCCAGGTTTTCAACTGCCTTTGAGGTCAAATTGGAAGATACTGGAGGGAAAAGAAGAAAGATGGGGCTCGAGTAGGACTCGCTGCTGGTACAATAGTTCTTTCTGTTCTGGCTTCCTCCCCCAGTCAGCCCGCTACCATCTACTTCCAGGAATCCTGAGGGCGGCCCCATGCCCACCGTCCCGCGCTTCCCTTTCGCTCCTTGGAGCCCCCTACCTCGTTTTGACCCCAATCATAAATGTTTCCATAGATGCTTCTCTGACACATTGCAAGTTCCATGAGGGCAGAGACCACATGTGGTTTATTAATGGCTTCATCCTCTGGCCTTAACTCGGTGTTTTTTGCATAGGAGTTCCCCCTCAAAATTCACTGAATAAATCAATCCACAGCGAAGACTAAATTAGATGACATTCATAAAGCAGCTTGCGGGACACTTGTCGTAAAGATGCTCAATCTCAGTCACTGAGAGCATCTATTACCGCCTGCAGAGACCTGAAGCCTGCCAGGTCTCACCTGCTTCGTTTCAACCAGTTAATACAGAGGCATTTGGCACAGAGCAAAGAATGCCTGCAAGTCACTAACCTATGTAAACGAGTGAGACACCGCTCCAGAAATGTTTTCCGTAGCCCCAAGAAACTCAGCATTTATGGTGCCACATCTTGTACAGAAAAATAGAAGAACTGCTCTGCACACACACACGTAAACAGTATCTGCGTTAGAATCTGTGAAAGTGGATTCTCTCCATTTCTTATGTTATTTCATCCAGCAGAGGGGAACTTACCTGTTCCGGGGGGAACCCTTGGTACCTAATACTTTGAAAAGATGATGCTCATTCTCTTCTATTGCAGAGCCCCTCCCCGCCCCAAGGAGGAGCATGCACGTAGCGCACTCCAGGAGGAGGATTTCCGTGATGGTCTTCTGTGAACGGTGCAGAAGCAGGGCCAGGCAGCCTGTGACCCGTCCCACAGCACTCACATCTCCAGTCCGGCCTTCTTCCCCTTTTGACAAACCAATGAGTACCTCTCAGTGGTAGAGACGAAACTGGAACCATGGCAAGGAGGCCTGGGAAATGGAGCTTCCAGATTCTAATCCCTGCAAGAAGACCTCGGCAGGTCAGGCAGAGGACGGAGCAGGAACACACTGTCTGCTGCTTTTATTGAGGTGATAGATCATAGCATCACCGTCTGTTAGCGGTTATTGCAGGAAATTGCACCAATAGGTTCCCTAACCTCGAACCATCTTTTAATTCCTAGGAAACGTGATCTTCTAGTACCTCGCATTATTGTATTTATTCATGTTTTAGTTGGAATTTTTTGTGTCATTAGTGCAAGTGGGGTGTCCCATATATTTTCTGCACTGGTGAGGTCTGGATTTGGGGTCAGGGAAACACTAGCTTTACTGAATGAGTTGGAGATCATCTTTTTATATTCTGTGGAAGAGCTTTTATAAGCATAATATTCATAATAATATGAATGTCATCATGCCTCAGAAATGTAGACTCTGCCTGCAAAGCAGTGTGGGCCTGCAGGCCTCTGATTTCCCCTTCCTTCTTTTTTCTATGGGTTATCCTTCTCTTTAGATTATTTTTTCCTTCTTTAGATCTTTTTTCCTCTTCCGAATTTTAGTTAATCCATTCCCAATTATTTCTAAATAGTTTCTCATTTTTTTAACCCATTATCTAGAATTTTTTTTAATGTGCAAGTAGGTGGATTCTTTTTTACTATGGCAGAGACAGATATCATTTGCGGTCCCTGCCTCCTTCCCTGTTTCAGGGAGCAGCCCCTCTGTTCAGCGTGGCAGTGCGTCCTGCTCTCAGGCCAAGCTCCTGCTTCCTCTAAGGTGGAACGCTGGCTCCTTCTGTCAGATACCGGATTTCCCAGCCTCCCCTGTGATGGCGGTGTGGGCGCGTGGCCTCGCGTGGCCTCTTTCTTCCTGCTTTGACTGTGAAAATACAGCACCTGCAGTTACTATCAAACTTAGGAAGTAGGAAAAAACTAGGTGCTTGCCCAAGCTTCGCTCCCGCATCTACAACGACCAGCTCTGTGACTTCGGACAAGTTGCTGAGTCGCTCTATGCCTCAGTTTTCCCATCTGTAGATGAGGAAAAATGACACGTCCCTCATGGACAAATATGAGCATGGAATGTGTTGTAAGGCATAACAATATGTAAGCGGCTTCGACCACAGTTGGCACAAATGCAACAGCGTTACCATCATAACAGTCAGTGATCAATACATCACAATCATCACCGCCATCTCGGGACCAAGAGACCGAGGCGACGAGAATCCAACGCAGGAGGAACGGGCTTGGAGTCTCCGTGAGGATGTTAGACAGAGCCTGGAAAACGCAGCTCTAGACACGCAACGAACAAGAAATACCATTACTTTAGTTTCTCTGCTAATTTTTACTGGATGCATTCTAACCCATATGCCTCATCATGTTTTCACTAATTCAAAAACCGACGCCAGGCACCCTTCTAGGCTGTGGGGCTACAGCCGTGAAAAATAACGGCAACCCTCTGCCTCTCAGAGCTCACTTTCTTGAATACTAATTTCTAATTGTCTTCCACCAAAGTCAGAGAAATTAGCCTAGTGAATTCTGCGTTGGGGACTGAGATTTTCTTCCTAAGAGGATTTTTGTAAATATTCCATAGGTGTTTGAAAAGAACACAGACACACACTCTTAGTATATGAGGAGTGAAGTTTAGGTGCAGGTTTTTTTGTGGGGGGGAACGAAGTCTTGCTCTGTCACCAGGCTGGAGTACAGTGTCGTGATCTCAGCTTACTGCAAACTCCACCTCCCAGGTTCAAGCGATTCTCCTGCCTCAGCCTCCCGAGTAGCTGGGACTACGGGTGCTCACCACTGCACCCAGCTAATTTTTGCATTTTTAGTAAAGACAGGGTTTCACCCTGTTGGCCAGGATGGTCTCATGATCTGCCCGTCTCCACCTCCCGAGGTGCTGGGATTGCAGGCGTGGGCCACCTCGCCAGGCCAAGGCTCATTTTGTTCTTCCATATTGATGTCCAATTTCTCCAGCACCACTGGTGGAACTGGCTGCTTACTATTTCTCCATGGAACTGCTGTTGCATCCTTGTCAGTTCAGGTGGCTGCATTTCTGGAGGAGATAGGAGAAGAAAGAAAAGGCAAAGAACGAAAATGTCCACAAGAAAAACACCAAGTGTCGACCAAGACGTACAGCAAAGACGCAGCCCGAGCGCGACCCTCCCTCCCTGCTGCTGTGACCCTGCATGACCTTGTTGGCTGATCTGTCTGCTAAAGATGAACAAGCCCTTGGCCGTCGCATGCCACTCCCAGGTATGCCCTCAAGCAGACACGCTCAGAGACGAGCAACGAAAGGCGCAGACTAGGATGTTCCCAGCAGCACTGTCTGTAACAGCCCCACACTGGCAGCTGACGACATGCTCAGCATCAGTCGAGCAGATAAACCGAAGTACATTTATGCAGTGGGTCAGCATGTAACAGCCAGAGCGAAGGGTTTAAAACCACAGGCGAGACTGTGTTGAAATCTCACTGACTAAATGTTGAAACAAAAGAAACAGGCGCTAAGAAGGCCACGTACGGTGTAGCTCTGTTTATGTAAAGTACAAGAACCAGCAGAACTGCTCTGTATCATTGGAGGGCAGGCCAGTAATTCACCTTGGCAGGGAGCAGTGGCTCCAAGAGGGGAGTGGGGCAATTTCAGAGGTTATGGGATGTTCTGTCTCTTGATCTGGATGCCAGTTACACAGCTGTGCTCTGTCAGTGAGAGGCATCAAGCTCTACACTCCTATGCACTTTTCTGCCTATATTCTATTTCAAAGGAAAGCTTAGAAAAGAGAGAAGGAAAGGTGGTGCTTCTCTGGAAGAAAACGCTAAAGTCCTTCACAGTAAGAAGAAAGTCAACCTCATTTTTGCAAACGGGGTGCAAGACACCTGCCTGCTCCATAGGCAAGTGTCAACGCCAGTCCCTCTGGTTGCCCCCGCCCCCCACCATGCAGGTATCCTAAGTTTCAGGTTCTAGAGGGTTACAGAGGATGCTGGCAATGAGGCACATGACAGGACACGCCCCTCATGAACTTAAAGTCTTGCTAAAAGAGAGGACCCCCACTCCATCGCACCCTCCAAAGCTAAAAGTGCACGGTACCAAGTAATTCAGGGTCCACGTGGAAACCTCAGCACAGAGTCACGGGAACTCTGCCTGAAGACTGCCATCGGCTCCGTCGGCACATTCTCACCGTGAGATCGTCGGCATCGGGAGGCGCGGCTCTTTTTAAAATCAGTCATCTTGGACCACACCACTCATGCAGTGTGTCGCTAAGGCAGGCTGTGAAGACCAGAGTGGTTGTTAAGGAACCAGCTAAGAAGTGCTTAATGTATACGTCGGTCTTCAGCACTGACTTTTCACGCCACTGCCGGAGCAGCACAGGACCCCTGCAAACTCCTGTCGGGAGCAAGAAATAAATTCCTCTTTTTTCTTGATGAGAGTGGAAAATTGCTCATTCTCTCTCGGGGGAGCCACAGGGATTCACATTCTCAAAGGCACAGAAACGGCCCCTAGACAGGTGTTTTTCCTGCCTCCTCCCTCAGTGTCTCTCTCTCATTCTTTCTCTCTCTCTCCACTCCCCTTTTCTCTTTCTCTCTCTTTCCTCCCTAGCTTAGAATAGGGATGGGGAAAAACTAGGCCCAAATCCTTCGATATTATTTGCAGAGGCCAAGGAGAGAGAAAACTCCCACTCACCACCCTAGACCCACATGTGTGCATCAGGAACATTCTAGCTTCAGAGATGGAAAGCAGGCTTTGAAGCATGAAGTGAGATGAGGGCTCCACCTTCTCCTCTGCCCCGCAGATCCAGAGCCTCCCAGGCATCCAGAGTCCAAGGGTGGCTCTTGTTGACTTGGTTCTAGTAAGAGAAAAGTTTTCTGGAAAAACAAGCAAACAACACATTATCCAAAAGTAAACATGTTCAACAGTCTCACAAGTGGGTTCCCCTCTATGGCTTCTCCAGCACCGTGCACCCTCTGCATGGCCGCTGGGCCACCCCGATCCCTCCCGTGGCCACAGATGGCAGTGCCAAGGGAGTCTCCGCTCTTGAGAAGTCTCAGCCCATGTGCGAGTGCAGAAACAGGAAACATGCCTTGACCAAGAGGAGGAGGAAACAGCCACCGGCAATCACCCAAGGGGCCACTCTCAGCACCTTGGGACCCTGGAGGCCGGGCCTGCGTCTTCTCCATCCTTGCCCTGCAGAAGAGTCAGAGTGGCCTCCAAAGTCTTCTTGTTGCTCCACTGAAGCTCAAGGAAACACAGTGACAGGGCACAGGTCTGGTGGGACATTTGTGTTAGTATCCCAGGGACGGCCTCACTCACAAAGCACCGCAGACCACGTGCCTTACACCACCGACGGGTATCGCCCACAGTCCTGGAGGCTGCAAGGCCCAGCTCAAGGTGTCGCCGGGGCTGCTTCTTTCTGAGACCGTGAGGGAGGGTTTGTCGCAGGCCTCTCCCGGCTTCTGACTTGGTGGCATGGAGAAGCACCTCGCTGACCTCTGCCTCCATCTTCCTGTGGCACCCACCCTGGGTGTGTGTCTGTCTCCAGATGTCCCCTTTGGATAAGGACCTGTCCTACCGTGTTCCAGTGTGGCTTCATCCTAACTCATTACCTCCGCAACTACTTTACTTCTCAGTGAGGTGACATTCCAAGGTCCTGGGCCAGTGTGGGGGGTGAGTAGGACCGTAACATATAAATCTTGGGGGAGGAATACAGTTCAGCCCATGGTAATGCTGACAGAAGTCCAGCCTGCAGCTCAGCCACTGTCCTACCCTGGATACAAACTGCAGTTGCATCTGCCCACACCACACTTCCTCCACCAGTGAAGTGGGAAGGTGGTGGCTGCCTGTCACGATGGTCATAAGCAACCCAGGAGACACAGGAGCACCTCTCATGTGCCTGAGGCTTACGGTGTGCTCAGAAAGGCGTGGATGGCACTGCTCTCATTGGCAGGCCGTTCTGCCAGTCTCTCCCAGCCTGAGAGAGGGCATCTCCCAGCCACATCCGTTTTCCACACTCCCTGCCAGAATCAGCGACCTTCAGAAAACCACTAAGAGATGAGCGAAGTGTCGACGTGCTGTGAGTTGAACAGCTCACTCGACCGCGCCGGTGCAGCCCGGGCCGGAGCCGGCTCTTCTCTTTGACGTTTTCCTAATGGCGCTGCCCGGGCTCCACGAGCTTTAAAGAACGAAGCCAGTGGCAGGAGCTCTGGGTTGGGCTGCACATGCGGAAAATGTACTGATATTAATTTTTGCATCCAATCTTGTTCCAGAAAGGATTTGAGGGGCATGTGGTGAATCAAATCCATCTCAGCCCAATGGCTCTATGCTTCACAATTAGTGGGAGGGGACTGAATAATTAGAAAACAGAAATAATCCCAAACTCCCACTGTCCCCAAAGGTGGCATCTTAGACCTGTCGTACTCTTGTTAAAGGCATTTTGCTTTTGAACTAGGAAGCTCAGCCTGTGGAGGCGATGAGGACAATGATGATGGCAATGCGGTGGCGGTGATGGCCAACACGGAAACTCATCCTCTGAGGGACCAGGTGCTGCTCAAAGGGAGGAAAGAAAGGGCGGAGGGACAAGGGGAAGACAGAGGGGAGAAAATGGGAAAAAGGGTTGGATGGAGAAGAAAGTGAAAAGAAAGACTGTGTTAGAGACCCACAGTGTGCTTCCTAACCCCTAACCAAATCCCAGGAGCAGGCTCACTCGCTCTTTCAAAATTGTGACTGATTTCAGGGAAGAGTCTGTGGTCCGAGGTGGATCACGTTAGCCATTCACCTCCAGAAAGCCACATCTGGGCCCCGCTCTCACCACGAGGCTCTGGCGACCTCTCCATTTGCCCCTGGCAAGCCTTTGCCATATTAAATACTGTCCCCTCTGCAACCAGCAGGTAGGCAGGCACTGCTCCGGGGCCATCCCCAGGGACACTCGGCCGGCTTAGGGTGCGAGACGGCACCTGGCAAACTGTACCGGGGAGGCCAGAGGACACGCAGCCGCTTCCTCAATGCCCTACCTCCATCGCACCTGCCGTGCCCCTTCCACATCAGCCACATGTGGTCTCCTACAGGGCCACAAGTGCCACATCAGCAACTAGTCATACTTAAGCCCCCCAATGACCTAGAAGGAAAAGGGAGAACAGTGGGTGCTAAGCTGAAACTCGGAAAATCCGAGTGAATATTGGCTGCACTCGCTGCAGGGGCTTGGGGAGGAGCTGTGATCAGATGTCTGAGTTGGCCAGTGGGCACTGGTCCATAGCTGCAAGGATGTCCTGGCAGGGTGATCACAGGGTGCTCTGTTGAGCAGGCTCCAAGCTGACAGCTCCTTTGGTTTGCTCACACACCAGTAGCCATTGCTCCTAGCAAGGCCCCCCAGCCCCCCTTCCCATCCAGCATACACTGCTGGCACCCCCACTCAGCCCCCCGGCACTGCCCCTGAATTTCTATCATAGAGAGCTAGCTCTCCATTGGCAACGCTGGTGCCTGTCCCTGCCAGCAGCCCCAAGTCAGCACCATGCCCGGCTGTTCATCATTAAATTGAAAAAAGGAGGAGGGTCCTGTCTTGATTCCCTTCCAACAAAGAGGCTCCTTGGTGACTATGCAAATGTGGCCACCTTCTCCTGGAACTTGCCCTGCCAACCAGCTTTGAAATCCCAGAGGGGCCCTGTGTCCCTTCCCCCAGGGGCCTGGCTAGCATTCGGATCACTGAGGACTTGGCAGGAACCACGGATGAAGGTCAGGAGCACCTGCTCCCAGCGCACATCCTGCCTGGATAGCCGTGAGGCAGCCAGCAGCTCTTCTTCAACAGCAGTCTCAGGTCTGCCTGCCCGTGACAGCCCCACTGCGAGATACGCACCACGTCCCAACTGCGCGTTCACATGGAATTCTCATCTCATTCTAAGTCTTATCTGATTCTCACCGAAAGTCTGAGTCCTTCTCACCACCTGGGGAAACAGAGGCACAGTGAATCCAAGTGACTTGTCTTCTCATACATGGAGAAGGTGAGGTTGAAACCAGATGCAGGACACTGCAGAGACCCCTCTCGTCCCTTTGACCATTCCAGAAAAGGACCTGCAAGACACAAAATAGTTTCCAAAAGGCCTCCAGGCAAGGGGGAGCCTCTAGGCAAGGGGGGCTCTGATAATACTCCCGGCTCAAAGTTGTTTTGGAACAAAGCCCTCCTGGTCCCATGGCACTGGGGGGAGAAAATGATCGGGGGGGCTGCCTCCCCAAGGACTGCACACTGGGGTGAACTGAGGCTACTTAATACATTCAGTCCATCAGAGTAATGCCTTGTAATTAAGATTCCTGGGAATGAAGTAGTACCGGGGCGTTCCATGGAAGATCTGCCTTCAAACGGTTCAGGTCAGCCTTAGGCTCAAGCACGGCTCTAATTGACGGCTCCCCTTGGGTCTGAAAGAAAAGATGTAATCAGACCACACAAAGCACGTCCTGTCCAATTACAAGGATCGGCCCAGATGGGCTGACCTGCGACCTATAAAACAAAATTAAGATTTCCAAACATCACCAGGAGGTAGGGGGAGGGATGGCTGGTCTGGGCTCCAGCCTTCCAACTCCCCAGACCGGAGACGGAACAAAACCGTAGCCCTGGAAAGAAATGTGGCGGACTCTGATCAGCCATTGTGCAGCCTTTCGGTTGGAGTCTTTCTTGGGGGTGGGAGGGCCAGGGGTCTAACACTCAGTTTCTTGCACTGGACGTCCAGATGCATTATCACAAAAGAGCATTTCTTTACAGTCCAGCCCTAGAGTTCCGGGAAGCTAGTTCTCTAAGCCCGAATCTCCCACAGCCATAGGACATGTTAATTACGTTTGGGGGCAGTGTGGGGACGCACTTGATGTCATGGAGGAAAACATCCCCGTACTCACGCCTGATGGGACCTGCACGCTGAGGCATGAGCAGACTGCCCGCGCTCTAGGGTGAGAACCTATCCACAGCATTTGAGGAATGTTTATCCATTCTTCTGTCTCCAGACTTGGGGAGCTGCAGGCACATGGCACTTAGTGTATTCAAATACCAGGGACCCCAGCATCTGGGAGGTTGAGGAAGAGTCGTGGGTCTTCACAGAGTCTTTGCAGAAGCAGGCCTCTGCCTCCACGCCGCCGAGCCAGGAGGACCTGCAGTGAGCAATCAGCTCTTCTTTCCTTCTCTTTTAAAATCAACACCCGTCCCCAGATCCACTTTTGGCAAACATTGCTTAACTGCTGCTGTTTTCCCTGAAGTCACTGAAGAGAGAGTTAGATAATGAGCTGGCATGCTCTTTTGAAATGTTTACTGTGTTCCTTAAAGCAAGGGACATGCTGGTTCCTAAACTAATTTGGGGTTGCTAGATCTTTTCTACTCTTTTTGGAGATCTCCGAAGTAAACACATGGACTTAAGTATAATTATCTGAGAGTCAGATAAACAGTCATGGGGCTTTCTAGAGGATGAACCATTGCAGATCTATCGATAAAAATGTTTTCTCGATTCTCCCGATGGAAAGGAGAGAGAATGCATGAGTAATACACCGTGGTACGCCCCAAAGATCTGAGGATAAAGATCAGGTTGTCTTACTTTCAGTTCAAGGAAACTAAAAGTCACGACAGAACCTCAATGGCCACGGCCAATGGGAGAGACCCCGGTATTCTCGGAAAACTTCCTCAGTGCAAGCTGTTCTTCACAACGGACCTCACATCTGAAAAATTTCTGAGTTTCAACCTGGCAAGTTGCACGGTCTTGTTAAAAAAAAAAATTAAAGCTCAAGGCACCCAGAGATGTGTAATTTCGGTGAGAACTGTAATAAATGCATGCACGTAAGCCCTGAATTCCCACTGTAGAAATGAAGATCTGGGGTTAGGATGACATTTATATGAATCCCACTTGGTATTTTGGTGGCATGTTTTCCCAAGGAGTTCAAAGGCATTTATAGACATTCTGATTAGTGCTTGTGATATCCCGGTGGGGCGGCAAATTCTATTAGCTCAGTTTTACATTTGGGAATAGAAGATCTTAAAGCAGCCAAATGGTTTGGCAAAAACCATATGGTGTGTCACTGATAGTGCTTTGAGAAGAAAACAGGTTTCCCAGCGTCTCTCCCTGCTCCAGTCCGCTGTCCAATTTGCTTGTAGGACTTTTTTTTAAATGTTAGATAATGTCACGGTGATTCTTAGAGTCTATGTAGAATCTCAACTCCTTTTGCAGCCTGCTGGGTCAATGTCCACCTGCGCAGGACAGCGTCACCGTGAGCCCCTCCGTCTGTTGGGAAGGACAGACCCCTCTGAATTGCTCCAGCCGGCCGCAGAGCTGAGCCCCCAAGCAAACAATGCCAAGAAGAGAAGCCTGGGAAGCCAGAGAGTCATTCCCCAGGCCCCTTTGCTCTGCAGAATGTGTGCAGGCTCCCCGAGGGTGAGGTATAATGACTTCCTCCACTCCCATCGTCCAAACAAGAAGTGGAGAAGGAAGAATGAGAAGAAAGCGTGGGCCTGTTGTGTAGGGCAGATGGTGTATCAGGAACAGATGCCAGGGATGAAGAAGACACTCCTCAGCTCCTCGTCGGTTGCCATCATCTCTTCAAGAAGTGCCTCAGGCTGCAGGGAACGGAGTGAGCAGTGCTCGGGGGAAGAGGCGTGCAGGCCGGCACTGCCACTCTCCGGAGGAGGGTCCTGTGCTCCCAGGCCATGGGATTCCATACCAAGGCATTTCAAGACCTTGAAGATAAAATGGGTTGACTCAGCCAGTAGTAACATTTGAGGAGTTGCTGTGGCCAGACTATTGCCACAGTGAGGCCACATTCGTACGCGTGGGCCCAGAAGTGCCTCACCTGCAGCCTGGCTCCGTGAACTGCTCTCCTTCCCCTGGTGCCAGCCACACTGTCTGTCCGCTTTTTCTTTCCTCGTTCTGCCCTTCCTGCTCAGGGGCCTTAACGTGCTATGCCACCTCCAGAGTCAGCCTGCCCCACCCTGTGTGCACGTGCCTGTATACTTCCATTGTTCAAACGTGACTGCTTCAAGGAAGCCGTCTTTCCTGACCCTCAGTCTGGGGTCAGGCCGACTCGGGCCAGGCTTTGCAGCCTCTCCTGCAGGTCACTGGTAGCAAATGAGATGAAATCATTTCTTGTTATTTAGTTGTGTGATGGGCGTCTCTACCGGCAGCAGATAAACCCCACTGAGGCAGCGGGCTGAGCTTTCTCTTATTCATTGCTGTCTGCCCGGCATCCATCTATATTTAACAAATTAATAAAATAAATAGCTCTTCAGTCTGGTTTAAAGAAACAAGCACACAAATAGTAGGGAGGAAGGTGCCGTGGGATGAACTTAGATTTGTTCACTGCAGCCGTGAAGGCATTTCACTTCAAGTCATATAATCCTGCCTCCTTATCTCCAAGGTCTGAATTTCCCATTCTAGGACCACAGTCTTCCAGCCCTCACTAGCTGGCCCCTGCTCCGGTAGGAAAAGGGACTGTCAGTCTCAGCTCACGTTTTCTGAATAGGAACGATCTGCTCCCACTTAGTGTCATTCCTGGAGACTTGCTCTGTCACTCAGGCTGGAGTGCAATGGTGCGGTCTCAGCTCACTGCATCTTCCACCTCCCAAGTTCAAGGGATTCTCCTGCCTCAGCCTCCAGAGTAGCTGGGATTACAGGCACCTGCCACCACGCCCGGCTCATTTTTTCTGTTTCTTTTTGTTTAGTAGAGACAGGGTTTCACCATGTTGACCAGGCTGGTCTCGAACTCCTGACTTCATGATCCACCCACCTCAGCCTCCCAAAGTGCTGGGATTACAGGTGTGAGCCACTGTGCCTGGCTAAAGGATCCCTTCTCTAAAGTGCCAGTTCTTTTTCTGTGGGGAAATAGTGAATTTGAGTGGATTTAAACATTTTTTTTAATGTCAATTTTTTTCCATGGATTTTTGTAGCCTTTGCTTTTTTCGAAGAAATCAATTAGGATTTATGATATTTTAGCCATGCTTCAAAACACACAGCAGATTAAAAATCTAAACTCCTGAAAATTGTATTTTATAAAATTAGGGCTGCTTATTTAATTATGAAGAAAGCTCCATCATCATTAATGTCATTGTTTATAAGCCATTAGGTTTTTTTTCCTCTCAAACACAGTTCCGTGTTTCCCGATGGGAACATCTTTAAAATATCATTAGAAACAAAAGTGTCAGCCACTCTTCACAGCTTCTACAGCTGCTCTTATCGAACATCCAGGGGCCTGTTTTAAAAGCAGAGAAATTCTCCCAGGAAGCAATGGCTTGGAGATCTGTCATTGGTACGAGAACATAACAACCAGTCTCATCAGCAGTAAAAATAATTCCAAGAAAAGTTAAGCAATGGGTAAATCAGGTCTTAAAAAGAGAGCGGCCCGGCGCGGTGGCTCACACTTGCAATCCCAGCACTTAGGGAGGCCGAGGCAGGCAGATCATGAGGTCAGAGAACAAGACCATCCTAGCCAACATGGTGAAATGCAGCTCTACTAAAATACAAAAATTAGCCGGCGTGGTGGCAAGCTCCTGTAGTCCCAGCTACTTGGGAGGCAGGGGCAGGGGAATCACTTCAACCGAGGCAGCAGGGTTGCAATGGGCCAAGATCGCGCCACTGTACTCCAGCCGGGCAACAGAGCAAGATTCCATCTCAAAGCGAAAGGAGAAAGAGAAAGAGAGAGAGAGGAAAGGCAGGAGGCAGGGGAAGGATAGAAGATGGAGGATGGAAAGGAACCACAGAACGGCACACAGGTCACTGAGAGGAGATTCTGCTGACCAGGGTCTGGGGAGTCTCGGGTGGTGTGATGTGTCACAGACCTTCTTTTATTTTGAGATGGAGTCTCACTGTGTTGCCCAGGCTGGAGTGCAATGGTGCAGTCTCGGCTCACTGCAGCCTCCGCCTCAAGGGATTCTCCTGCCTCAGCTTCCCAAGTAACTGGGGTCACAGGCACATGCCACCACCATTCTCGGCTAATTTTGTCATCGTTGTATTTTTGGTAGAGATGGCCTTTCACCATGTTGGCCAGGCTGGTCTGAAACTCCTGGGCTCAAGTGGTTTTCCTGCCTTGGCCTCCCAAAGTGCTGGGATAATAGGCGTGAGCCACTGCGCCGGCCACAGAGCTTCTTCTTAATTATAGAGATTGTCTTGAAACCTTGAAACCAATGGGAATGGGGAGTTGGTGGACAGGTAGCAAATTTTTCCATTGATACCATTGACTTAACATCACAGATCTATACCTTTAGAAGAACAGTTTTATTTTTTATAAACAATTACAACTTGTAGGCTGCTCTGTTTAACAATTTGTTAAACCAGAAACGGGCGCTTTGCAGAAGGATCAGGGAGGCAGAAAACGATGCTGAAGGAGTGGGCTAAGAAGTTTACAGATTTAGCAGGACATAGGAGGAGCTAGGAAGATGCACGAAGGGGCTGTGAGTATGTGTAGTAAGCAAACATGTATGTTACATATGTCAACACACACACGTTCACTTGGGAGTGAAGACTTCACATTGAAATGTTTTACAGTTGGACTGTATATGTCAGAGGGTGGGGTGCGGCCGGGGCTCCAGGACACCCAGTGCACAGCCCCCATGGAGCAGCCAGAACCAGGCCCCAGAGGGTGGCCTCCCATCAGGAGGGAGTTACTGCCATCAGTCTCTTGTTCTCTTGAAGCTGCGGTCATGGCTTGCAGAACAGGTGTCAGTCAGTCAGCATCTGGCAGAGCTGCAACTGTTTTAATATGGTTTTAACGTTGCCTATCTTGAGTCCAGTGCTTGTTCCACTGTTAGAAAAGTCAAAACCTTGTGGCGGTGAGAGCATCGTTTATTCCTGAAGCACAGAGCTGTGGGATTTCAACCTTGCCTGCCACGGCCTCTGGTCTTGCTTACAATGTGGCCTCCCATTGCCAGTCTGATTATCTCTGTTTTAGCATTCATGCTGGTCAGTTATTCTGTCTACACCGCAAAAGGCAAGGGGTCTGGCTGAAGCATCAGGCGATTGGTTGAATTCAGCATTGGAGCAAATCTTTCAAAAGGGCTGGTTTCTGTTTAACTCTTGCGAGGTGGCTCATGCCTGTAATCACAGCACTTTGGGAGGCCAAGGCGGGTGGATCACAAGGTCAGGAGCTCAATACCAGCCTGGCCAACACAGTAAAACCTGTCTCTACTAAAACAATTAACCAGATGTGGTGGCAGGCACCTGTAATCCCAGCTACTCCAGAGGCTGAGGCAGAAGAATCACCTGCACCCAGGAGGTGGACGTTGCAGTGAGCTGAGATTGTGCCATTGCACTCCAGCCTGG